TATCCAAGTGCCACTTGACCGGGACTGGTTTGGGCACCAGTGTGTGATAGACGAAAAAAGGTCAATCAGGGAGAGCGGTAGCACTCTTGGAAAAAGGGGGCAATTTTCGGAGAAGGGGAACGATCTTATGTCGGAAGAAGAGGATGCGATCACTGGAACAAGAGTTATTTTCCTGAAGTTTCGGATTCCGGCGGGAATTCTTAATCATAGGTGATGGTAACATAGTCATAGTCATGCGCAGATACGGTTGAATCATGCACAGGTTGCACGGTATTTATATTTCATAACTCCATCAAGTGCCAAATGCTCGGTCATACATCATATTTATACGAATTTGTATGTGTAGTGAGAGCTGGTCCCTGGAATGTAAGGGGTCCTGAGTCCCACATCTGCTGGTCGGAAGCTCGCATCAGAAAAACTCGCAATCATGCGTTGCCATCGACAGTACGCAAGGAGGTTCTGTTGAGGTCTCCGTCGAAATGTTTTAGGCGATTTGAATGATTCAACATCCACAATGTCATGTTTCCGGGTTAGCTTCTGTCCGATCGACGAGCATAAGTTTACTGTCTGCATGGAGGGTGTGTGAAGCGCAGATCTAGCCTTATGCCCAATGCCTCCTTATCACTTAGAAGGGCCTAGGCAAACACCGACTTGGCCGCTCAGTATAAATCGGCAACAGCCTTCGTATGGATGGGAGCTTATGGCCGAATGCCACCTATTTCACACTTTCCCATTTGGCGTGCCTGTACAACCATCTAAGTCCATTAGCTAATCCCGTAGTTTTCTTGTACTACATTAAGATGCGAATGTACTGGATGTTCGATAATTGATCTCACCTCCAAATCACACAGGAAAAATGTATCAAGCAACTCCTTCAGTATTATTCTTCAAATAACGCAGAATGTGAAAAACAAGGCCTTAGGAGACTCAAATTCAAGGCTTCTCAGCGCGAAGCGGAGCTTCGGTGAGAAAGGGAAAGAGGCCTTGATCGAGGCGCAGCCAGAATGCGCATCTAACCAGGCTTACGTGGAGGACCCGGGCGATGCATTTCCATGCGAAAGATGCCTTTACTGAGGTCCTTGGGGTGACCACGGTCTCTTGCGCTCAACGGAAAGCTTCGCCAGACCTGAAATTTCATACTTTCCGC